CCACTTCAGACTGAAATTCAATGGTTTCTGGCTGTATTTCACTGACGACAGCATAAGGTGCCAATTTTGAAGTCTCAGACTGAAAGTATATTTTGTTTGTTCCTAAATCACCCACTACACTCAGGGGAGGTTGTGCTGTTTTCTTAGAGTCAGCTATAATAAGCTTATCTTGTAACTCGCCAATGGCTCCCACAGGTAGCTGGGCTGGGGCTTCGGCCTTGAAATGAAGTGGGGGGTCCTCAGCAGCAGCTACAATTCCTAAGGGTGGCTTCACTGTCTCCTTTGTGACGGCAGTAACCCTATCCTCAGGCACGCCCACAATCCCAAGGGGTGGAGAAGCAGGGTATTGTCCAACAAACTCGACGGGAGCCTCGCTGTAGGTCGTTTGGATCCCTAAAGGCTGAAGTGTTGGCTGGTCGCCTTCCACAGGAGATTCCTGCTCTATCTTCCAGGCAGCACCAGCTGCTGGCTTGGGAAGAGTGGGAGGAATGGGACGGAGTGACCCGCGGTCCGAAGGTGCTGGTGGATCAGGTGGAGGTGGAAGATATTCAGAAAGAAAAGGTGGCGGATCGGTGCGTGTGACGTTGTTCGGAGGAACGTACTCATCGGCGGGTGGTGGTGGAAGGGTAGGTGTTGCTTTAGATTTCGTCTCAATGTCAGGAGGAAGATAATCATTGCTGGGTGGTGGTGCTTCAGATTTCGTCTCAATGTCAGGAGGAAGATAATCATTGCTGGGTGGTGGTGCTTCAGATTTCGTCTCAATGTCAGGAGGAAGGTAATCATTGCTGGGTGGTGGTGCTTCAGATTTCGTCTCAATGTCAGGATCAGTGCTTCAGATCAATGTCAGGAGGTAATCATTGCTGGGTGGTGGTGGTGGTGCCTCGGATTTTGTCTCAGGTTCTGGAGGGAGATACTGATCGCTGGGTGCTGAAGGAGATGCCACTTCAGTTTTAAAATCAAGAGCAGGAAGTAAGTATGCGTCACCAACCTCAAGAAGTGACTCTCCTGGAGGCTGATCTGCTTTAGGACTTTGTGACTGAGGCGAAGGGGGCAAATACTCCTTATCAGGTGGAGTAAAATGTTGTTTTATAGAGTCCGGAAAGAATAGTGTGTGGAATGAGCCCAAAACATTGGCTTCTGTTGTTGTTCTAACTGTCGTTATAGGCAGAGTTTCGACAGTCTTAGGACCTTGATTATCATGTATTTGGTATCCATAAGCATAGTCGATTTTCTCATAGCCTGGTAACCTCGCCCCAAAAGGCAGTTGATCTTGGGAGGCGTAGTACACATTCAGATTCTCCGGGCTTCGTTGAGGCGGAGGAACGATGGACTCGACGGCATCGAGCTCAACGTCTGAGTGGATCAGTTGATCGCTGGGCAAAGCTAATAGATCTGTGTCGCGGTTGATAACTGCACAAACAAACATGGAGAAACAATTCTAGTCATTCAACAGTCGGTGAAGATATTAAACTTCATACTCATTATTTTTAAAATAAAGTCAACAAGTAGTGCAGCATCTCGAAAGGACCGCAGTGAAACTCCAGATAGTTGTTAAAACCGGGAAGCTTTACTTCACGATGAAGAGATCTTTAAATTGAATAAAACACAATTACAGCAAAGTCTAACCAAGAGATAAAAATCTAAGAGAATGCACAATTGTCTATAGACATCTAGATAAAAATACAGCACATCTATATGAAAAAATAATATTCAATAATAATCTAATGGAAGCAAAACACATTATTGCAAAGAATAATGTTTCGTATACAAAAGTTGTTTCATTTCCAAAAAGAAAAGAAAAAAAATTGAAAGCCTTCCCTAACACATGACCTCAATACAAAGCCGCGTAAACGAAGACAATGTGTCTGAACGAAATAATATCGGTGTTATTTATTCACTGTGACAATTGGAAAAAGTACGAATGAGAAAAATAATTCCTTAGTGAACTGTTTTCGGGAATTCTTATTTCTCACTCAGTCTGCTAAGCCTAATATGGTTTGTAGGATTTCTTCCAACAAATCGGTGAACACAATAAACAGAATGTGTCTTGACAATGAGCTCCCTTATGCTAATTTTGCGCATGTGTGTATTTTCCGTTAGGTCTTATCACGAAAGCCTAGTCGTGAACTGAATGTCTAAGCTTCTCGCTTTTTATGCGTTAATATTCAAAAACGCAATAAAGATAAACGCAGCTGAACGTCGACGGTCTAACATGTTAGTCGAGTCTTATTTGCTAACAGTAAAATACAAACTCTTAAACATACGGCAAACGCAATTAATCTACCTTTACAAAAATAGTAAATACATCTACTGTCTATAAGCATATCAACTCTAAAAAGGACAATGCTTTGCACATTGAATATAAATATCTACCACTTGCATTACTTGGTATATTTACAAGCTGTTATAAGTCTATTTACAAAGAACTTACATGAGTGTTGTGCCCAAGCACCGCCGACGAGCAGCGCCAGACCGACGACTAACAACTTCATCACGCTTTCTGTGGAAGGAAAGAGGGGTACACTGTAACAAATGTCCAAACTTTTGAAAAAAAAAAGTCTGAAAGTCATAGTTAATCATATTGTGGGTGAAGAGTATTTCTTTCTATCGATAAAAAATATATTTTTTCATCTTTCCTCACTCTCTCTGAAATATGAGTGTATAAATAAATAATCAAATAATGATAAAAAATACAGGTATTCTAGAAAATTATGCGCTCATGCACTGTCATATCATCCATTCACCTCCTCGGCTGACAGGATCACAGCGACGAGACAAAAAGCACAGAGACCAAGGCTGAGGGCCACGGAAGAAGGATCGCCTCCTATCTGTATCCTACGGCGCCGCCAGGACTCAGGTGGTCCCCTCTCCCACTCCTCTCCGCCCGCGCTCAGCTCCGCCCTTGTCTAATATGGGCGCCACAAGGTCGTCGAGAAGTCACCAACACCCAGATCTTATTTTAGCTGAGCCACATTTTTTGTTTCGTTCACTCTTGTTCACGGTTTTATTATCGGAAATATTATTTATCTATCTGTACGTGAAGTGGGTGCGCGGGCGCGCATGTGCGAGTGTGTGAAAGTGAGACCGAGTGCTTATGTTAATGTAAGCATGACAGTGCATATACGTGTGTGTGTGTGTGTGTGTGTGTGTGTGTGTGTGTGTGTGTGTGTGTGTGTGTGTGTGTGTGTGTGTGGTGTGTGTGTGTGTGTGTGTGTGTGTGTGCGTGTGTGCGCGCGTGTGCATGAGTGAGTGAGTGTGAGTGAGTGTACGTGTGTGACGAACGGCTGATGGAAACTGAAAGGGCAGAGTGCGACCCAGAGCCACAAGTCACAAGTGCAGAACGAATGGAAATCGCTGCTTCACTTTCGATCATCCGATCTGGCACTTTCTACGGCGGATATGTTTACGTCCCTTTGCATCTGTATGCAAATATCTACTCATTGTTTGCCTTTGTCTCATTCAGTGCGAAAATAAGTGCTAGAGTAATTGCGAGTTATTATCTAAACAGTGTGCTCTTGTTCTAGCTATTGATAAAGTTGTTGAGTAACAATCGTGCATCTGGCATTCGTATCTCATTATTGCCTGGATCTGATAGACATCGACTAAAAATACCTATAACATTACCCTCCCACCGCAGTAAGACCAAAGAGCGCGCTGCCCTTCGCTGCCGGCCGTCGGCGGTGCCCAGAGAGCGACCTGGGCAAGTGACCGGAGAACTCAGGTCATCATGAACGAACAGATGACTTCACACCGAACAGAACTGGTCGGTTTAACTGTACCTGGCCGACGTGGGCAGCAAGAGGGCTGTGGGCGGTAGAAAGCCAACAGCCTGGAGGCAAGACAGGAGAGTTCCTGTTTACCTCTCGCCGTGTCTTCAGGAATAATAATAATGGCAGAAAGCCTCTCCGATGGGGCGTCCGAGGCAAGCGAGGCAAGAGGCGCCCATAAGGCAGGCGAGGGAGGCAATGGCGGCGACGGCTCCACCGCTTTAATCCGATGGCGTTGATGTCTAAAAATAATTTCTATTTCGTTTACTTTTCTATTGGCTTTAACAAGAGTAGATTTCATGGAAAAAACAGTCATCGATGAAGCAAAAGTTATAGACGTCTCTTGCAATGGAACAATTGCAAGTATTCTGCAACTTTCACTCCAGGCCAACAACGCCTTTAGATTCTTGCGTCACCGACAGCCGTCTTCTCGGTCTCTCCGCCTCCTCCGCTTTTTCTTTCCTCATATCTTTTGTTCTTCTCTCCCATGTCCATCTCCTGCTCAGCCCTCCCCCTCGCCTTTGCCAAGACACGTAGGAAAGGTCAGAGAATATTTGTATTTATGTTGAGAGCACAAAGAAGCTAACTGCTTCAGATTTTCAAGACGTTAAACGCCACCAATTTGCTAATAAAATAACTACATCTGTTATACTCGTGTATTTTCCATTCTAGAATTTCGCAATGATTAAATAAAAAACATAAGGCGCATGAGTCGAATGAATGAAGTCCTATGGTACCGTTATATCTACCGAGCAACGTTTCTGCTTAACACAGTACGACTCATGCAGCACGGAGGCAGCACCTGCATCCAGGTCGTCGCTGCTTTGTCCTTCCCTCGCTCGCCATTCCCTCCGCACTCACGAACGCACTGTAAAAAGCTCGAGGAAAAACTCATGGCCGCCCAGATTGATGTGCTGTGAGACGGAGGCCGGGGGAGTTTATAGCCAAGCATTACGGAAAGGAAAGTATGGAAAGGGAAGGAATGAGGGAGGGAAGGAAAGAAAGTAGGAAAGAAGGATGGGGATAGGTGGGGCAGCAAGCACGTTTTGCAGACGATAAACCTGTTATTTTGCCCCGCCGCCCACGCCGCAGCAGTATTGACGAGGCGCTGTGGAGCTCTACCAAAAGGCTCTGGGAAGGCGTTTGGGCCGACGTGGGGGGACCGGAAAGGTTAGAGGCGCTGAAGTCAGCCTGGGCTGTCGTAAGCGTGATTTCAAGTAGATTTGAATATCCCGAAGCTAAAGGACACGTAAAGGTTAGGTTGCGCCGGAGGTGTGAGCCAGTCGGACATTTCCCGGGTGTATGGTCCACCTACGGGCCGAGCCAAGACGGTCCAAGAGATGTGCATTGCCCTTGCTGCCCTTTCTTGCATCTGTTCAATAGCTGGAAACAGAAAACAGCCGTGGCTAACTCTGATGGCATCTGGCGATGACCATACTTAGGCTAGACTTACGAGTTTTCGGAATTTAAATAAGTTGGTCACCCCAGCGCCGGACCAGCGCTCTTTGGAACGGGACCCAGCCCACGCGCAGCAAGCACGGCTTCAAGTCCAATAAACCAGAAGGGAAAAACAGGACACCGCAGCCCTTAGACCACTGGGTGTCCTCCGTCCCGGACCTCCCTCGTGTCCTCTTTCCCCCGCTCTCTCCCCCTCGACCACCTCCGCTACGCCCACGGCTCACCCACACGCGGCAGGTCCCCGTGCGGGCGCCGGGCCCCTCCTCCCCGCCCTTCGCCACTCTCACTCGATGGACCCGCGCGGGGCACAGGAATGGTGTTCCAGACACACACATATATATATATATATATATATATATATATATATATATATATATATATATATATATATATATATATATATATATATATATATATATATATATATATACATATATATATATATATATATATATATATATATATATATATATATATATATATATATATATATATATATATATAGTTTCAAACACACACATGTATATAGATATATCACAGATAGATACAAATTAATTGAGCTGAGATATGAGGACTAAGGTCTTGCATGCATCTCCACGGGCGTGGTGGATACTGTGACTGTTTCTACACTGCCGCCCACCCCTGCCCTTGGGTGACGCTCGGTGCCGGTGGGGCGAGGCAGTACCGGATGAAGCCGCGCCGTGAGGCTTCGCTTTTTGCCAGGCTGGGGAATGTGGCTCGGCGGAAGAGCTGACGAAGAGGGACAGGGAGCACTGCCAAGCGGGACTGGCACGAGGACAAGAAGGAATGGAAGCGGCGAGGCAGAGCAGTTTCAAAGAAAGACTGGAAGAAGTCTCGACTAGAGTGACAAGACGAGGAATAGGACAAGGTTGAGGTTGGATTACATGAAAAGAGATACATAAAGAAAGTAACTGAAGGTTGAATCGCGACCATAGTGACTGGCTGTAACAATCCAAGTCACAGGCGCTGGGCAGGAGAGGAGGCGGGAGTGGGCGGGGAGATAGACAGGGTTACTCAACTTTTGGGCGAGTTGTCTCCTTCTCCCTATCCTCACCAATCTGCCACCCTCTGGCTCGGCCCCGACCAGTCCCCTGCTCGCAGACCTGAACCTCGCCCACGGAGGTCAGCGCCTAGCCGTTACCTCAGATGGCTCGGGGAAATGCCTCCGCTGCGGCCGCGTGATGTATGGAGGGGCCGTTAGCTGACGCTGTCAAGGCTGCCTTCGTTAACTGTGAGTTGATGTGTCTACAGGAAGGATAATAGCTACACGATAACAGACACCGACGCCTCCCTCGTGGAAGAGACAAAGAAACGCCATGACACCGCCCATGGCAGGGACTGTCTTCAAGCGGCAGACTGACAAAGTATTGCATGACGAAGTACGGAGTAAGGTATGAGGTCAGGAAGGCCAGGACCCTCGGCGTGGGACGCGGCAACACGCAAGGAAGCCCTCAGGAATCCCGCGGAATCCGCAACGGACAGCCACGACCGCTAGGAAGAATGCGCAGGGAGGGGGGGGGTGGAGAGGCGGTAACGGGAAAAGGAAATCCAGATGAAGGGAAATCGCAGGTGAAGGAAGGGCAGATGAACGGAGGGGGGAGGGGAGTGAACGGAAGGGGAAAGGTTGGGAGATGAGCGAAGGGGGATGGAAAGGGAAATGAGTGGAGGGGGGAGGGAAGGGAGTGAACAGAAGGGGAAGGGAAGGGAGATGAACGGTAAGTGATCAATGATAGTCGAAGGGGAAGAGGGAGAGAGAGAGAAGCAGGAAAGGAAAATGGGATGGCGAGCGCGGTGCTGCATGACTGGAGGAGGAGGTACGAGGATCTAGACTCTCTCAAGGTAGCCAAGTAGCCTGCGTTATCGACATTTTTTTCATCTATTATTCTAAACTGGATTGCGCCTGGATGCAGAGGGCGGGAGAGGCGGCTGAAGGTCAGAGAGGGACACGAGATCAGAAAGGGAAGAAAACCAGTTAAGTAGAAGGTAGATAATTGGCTGCTCTTTAATAACATGGCTCGAGAGGCAGCTGGCGTCTAAACACGTCCATGCATTAGACCGAGGCCATTTAGACGGGTGCAGGACGCGGTGCCTTGCGAGGGACTTCTCACGGAGCAAAACATCCTCATCACCTGCCCCCCCCCCTCCGTCCCTCCCAACTATCCCGTTTCCCTCCCCTCCCCTCCCCCCACCACCCCTTCCCCCATCCTCGCGTCACCCCCATCGCCCACAATCTCCTTACCACACCCACCCCATG